AAATAAACATATTCAACATTATACCTATGCATGCACATCTTCTATATAATATTGCATTGATATACTTTGAAATACTTATTTAAAAATAACCATGGGGAATTATCCCATTCGCGCAAAGCGCGTAGAAAAAACTAGTATCTACTATACTAATAAGAGCCCAAGAGAGTTAGGCCTATAATGGGTAGAAAAAATGGCGGTCAAATTATTTAATCAAATGAATGGCTCAGATTGATCAGATTTTAATTTTTCCTTAAGATTTACTAATTTATCCTTAATGAATATGATTTTCCGTTAACTTTTCCGTTAAATATTATCTTTTCCGTTAGTTCACCGTTAACTTACTCATTGATTTCAATAAGAAAGGTCTTAGGTTCGAACCTCATCCCAATCAAAGTTGACATAATTAGTACTCTATTTTACTCTTATTAAATTATTATATATATAAATAATAATTTAGTAGTTACAACAAAAAATAATACATATGCATTTCTTTAATTTAGAATTATGTGTCTACAATGTCTTTATTCAAAAAAAAAATTATTCATTATCAATAAATTAAATAAGAGAAATAATTTCATTAGTTATATTGTATTTATTTTTCTCCAATATAAAAATTCTTTACATTCAAATTCATCAATTGATTATATTTGCTACATTGTCCCTACAATGTCTTTATTAAAAAAAAAATAAAAAAATTATTCATTATCAATAAATTAATTAAGAGAAATAATTTTATTAGTTATATTGTCTTTATATTTCTCCAATGTAAAAATTCTTTACATTCAAATTCATCAATTGATTATATTCACTACATTGTCTATTATCTTTTTTTGTACACTATTTTTAATTAAATATCAAATTTATAATACAAAATAATGCTATATATTTATTTACCAAGTATTTTATTAATACCATGAAAAAATTAAAAAAATATATAATTAATAAAGCCAATCATATTAACTACTTAGGGATTTGTTGACAAAAAGAGTATTCAAATCACATAACAAATTGAAGTGAGAATTACCTCGCAATGTCATTGTTTGAAAATCAGCAGTTAGCGGTTAGCGTTAGCGGATTATATTAGCGAATTTGACCAGTGAATTACATCAACGGTTGGTAAAAAGATATTTGAAAAAATTAATTGTTTAGATTAACATGTAAAATGACCTAAGGGTATACATAATAATAATAATAATAATAATAATAATAATAATAATAATAATAATAATAATAATAATAATAATAATAATAATAATAATAATAATAATAATAATTGTTTTAGAAAAAAAAATATAATTAAGCCAATTATATTAACTACTTGGGGGATTTATTGACAAAAAGAGTATTCAAATCACACAACAAATTGAAGTAGAAAACTATCTCGCAATGTTCTTGTTTGACAATCAGCAGTTAGCTCTTCAATATTAGTATATATTTAATATTTTATGCCCTAATTTTTATTTGCTTCCCCTTATGTCCCGTATTTGGTTTCAACCATACCTATACAATTATTTTATTGACAATTATAATCAATCTCGACTATATTATCTTGCATTTGTAAACTTAGAATTGCCTATTTACATACGCAAATTTAACATTCAATTATCTATGCATGAACAATTTCAATATAATCTTGCATTGATATATTTTAAAGTACTTATTTAAAAGAAAAACATTGGGCATTATCTCAATCGCGCAATGCGCGTAAAAAACTAGTACTAATAATAAGAGCCAATAAAATTAGACGTATAATAGGTAGAAAAAAAATGCCCGTCAAATTATTAAATGAAATGAATGGTTCAGATTATTCAGATTTTAATTTTTCCTTTCAAATTTATCCTTAATTATTAACTTACTCATTGATTTCAATAAGAAAGGTCTTAGGTTCGAACCACATCTCAATCAAAGTTGGCATAATTAAGGTCCTCAATCTATTTTACTCTAATTAAATTAAATAAATTAGTAGTTAGAACAAAAAATTATACATATGCATTTCTTTAATTTAGAATTATGTGTCTACAATACTTTTATTTTTTAAAAAAATATTCATTACCAATAAATTAAATAAGAGAAATAAACTAGGACTATGTGGTCCAATGGTACCTGGGTTGGACTTCCATTTGGAAGATTGTAAGTTCGAGCCTCAGCGGAGGCGTTATTAGCTCTTTGTGTTTCAGTAGGTTGAGAAAGTATATGAACAGATACTACAATGTAATAGAGCTAGTAGCATTCAAAAAAAAAAAATAAGAGAAATAATTTTATTAGATATATTGTCTTTATTTTCTCCCATGCAAAGAGTCTTTATATTTAAATTCATCAATTGATATTCATTACATTGTCTATTATCTTCTTTTTACACTATCTTATAATTAAATATCAAAGTTATAATTACAAAATAATGTTATATATTTATTTAACAAGTATTTTATTAATACCATGAAAACAAATAAAAAAAATAGTCTATCATATTAACTACTTGGGAGATTTGTTGACAAAGAGAGTATTCAAATAATCCAACAAATTGATGCGAGAAACTACATCGTAATATCTTTGGACTACATCATATTTAAAATGTTCAGATCTCCGGCTTTGACAATCCTCTATAGCTTCTTCAGATTGGGTCTTTACCGTGTGAGATATATCGCACATTGGGTTGAGAATGCGCTCTCTTACCGTCTATTTGAATTGCTGTTGAAATAGTGGATTGGACTCATTGATGGTGATCCCCTAGACGTAAATACAATTGTATCAAACTAGATAAACAATACTTTGTGTCCCTTACTTTTTGTTTGATCTAGTAGTCATATCTATGTATAATTTTATAATTTAAAACGAAAAAAATGTTAAATAAGCCATCAATTTAAATAAGTCCTCAATAAAAATTTATGAGAAAATTTCAATTTTGGTCCACTGACTATTGAGGTTGTGTTAATTGCAACACTTGACTTTCAAAAATGTTTATTTAATACTTTGACTATGCAATTCTTATCAATTTTAGTCACGCCGGTCAAATTACCGGCTAAATGTGACCGAAAAGTTTAAACTTATTAAATAAAAGGGGGAAAAAATGTCATTTCAGGATTTTTTTTTTTTTTGAAAATTAAAAATTTGTAAAAGTGTTCACCTTCTTCTCCAACTGAAATTCAGCATGCCCCGACATTCTCCCCGCTTGGAGGTTACTGACGGCGTCACCGCCGGTGTGCCCCAGAAGTAGGATATGGCTGGGGGCGCCGCACGCCGCCGGGCTGTTGAATGCTCCCTGCTTGGCCTCTAGGCCATGGAAAACAACTCCCTCGCACGTTTCAATATGGAAGATGACGTCTGCGTCGCCGGGCTCTTTCTCCATCGCTTCATCGATTTCTCCATCGTCGGCGGCTTCATGCGTGCTTCAGTAAAGAGATTATGTCTGCGTCATCGGCGGCCGGCTTCACGCGTGCTTCAACAACAAATTTGGGAAGCCAATTGTTGACCAAATCCGATACCGACAAGCTCATCTGCACCGTAATCAGTAGATCCAGCAGGGCAACCGAAAGTACTGCTTGGATCATCTTGAGGGTAACTATAAGCATCAGGACATAAGCCCTTGAAGAATTTTGAATAATCACTAGGATCACATGGTCCCTCGTTGCAGCAATATTGTTGTCTTCCAAAGGTGGTGCAAGGGTTGTTACAGTCGCCGTCAACCTTGAGAGCGGCGGGGCATTGGCCGTTGACATCAACCGTGCATGAGATTGTGTGGCATTTGTCGGCGTCGGGCTTGGTGGGGGCGAAACTCAAGGGGATATTGAAGCTAAGCCTCTCACGTGTTTGGCAGTACAGGGAAAAAAGATGAGTCTTTTCCTCTCTTTGCCTCTCATCACGCAGACACAAATCCTTTGTTTACTCTTCACTCTCTTCATTCCTTCCCAATGAAGGTGAAAAACCACCATACACCCACTCTCTCTCACTTTCTTATCTCTTCTTTTGACTCTGTTTCTTGATCTTGCTTTCCATCTGGGTTTCATGGTTTCTGAGGTGTTCTGTTGTTTCTTTTTGAGGAGGGTTTAACTGTTGTGTGGTTTTTAAGTTGGGGATTTCTAGGAGGTTTTGTGTGTATGGTAGTGAAATGTAGTTTCTAGAATTTGGTTATGGTGCATTTGGCTTTGTTGTTTTAAATGGAGTGTTTGGGGAAGAAGAGGAAGGGTGTGGATATTTCAGTTGCTTGTGAAAAAGAGGAGGCTTTGCTAACATTGGTTCGTTCGCACTTTTCACTAGAAGATTACTCGAGGAGGAGAAAGAAATGTAAGGAAGTAGTGGTTAAAGATGATGCTGTGACTCCATCGTGGACGCCTTTGCGAAGACGCCGACAGTGAAGACAAGAAGGAGATCGGAGAACGAGCAAGTGGGATGTCGGAGAAGAGGGAGTACGAAGCAAGAAGAAGGTTTGAATGAAATGACGCTTTTGCCCCTTTTATTTAATGAATTAAACTTTTCCGGTGACATTTGGCCGGTAATTTGACCGGCGTGACTAAAATTGATAAGAATTGCATAGTCAAAGTATTAAATAAACATTTTTAAAAGTCAAGTGTTGCAATTAATACAACCTCAACAGTCAGTGGACCAAAATTGAAATTTTCTCAAAATTTATTACTTCATACGCGACATTTGGAAGGACGTTTGGGGTGATTTTACAGCTTCAAATACACCATTTCAAAAGTTTAGAACACATTTATATCTTTATTAATTAGAATTATTTGTATGCTTTTATGTAAATATTTTTAACAGCAATTTCTCATTTTTTATCTCAAAAATCTGCTTTTTCTGTCGAACACAGTCATACAGTCATACAGTCATTGTTCTAAGGAAAATACTACATCACTCTAATTTTTTATCCTCAACTTTTATTTTATTTTATAAATTATTGATGTAGATATATTCCTTAAAATTTACCTATAAAAATAACCAATTTAAAAAATAAAGGAGTAGAATTTGAAAGTAAATGTACTCTTGTTCTAAATTCACAGCCATAACTTCAAACGCTCCAAACTGAACGTTCTTCCAAATCAATGCATAGTCAAAGATGAAGAGTCCTCAGGGTTCCCTCCATTGCAATTAGCGATGACGTAGGTGGCATTCCCCTCTGATTTATCACCACCTTCCTCAGCAAACGAAGCAAGAAAGCCAGATTTCACTCTCCACTGCTTTTTCTTGCATAATTCGAAAGTATCTTTCTTTCATCTTTGTTGTTTCTTTGTGTTTTTTCTTTTTAATCTTTATTTTACACAAAAATGGAAGCACCCAAATCCTCAGAGGCAGAAAGAAGCTCCAATTCAGCTGCAAATGACGATCCTTCTCCTTTGCCCCAAGAGGTTAACATTTCCCTTATCCTTTAGATTGATGGGTGGTTTTGAAGTTTTTATTTTTAATTAATTATTTCCCATTTTCATGGTTTCCAGGGGTTTTAGATGTTATTTTGCTATTTTAGAAGACTAGAAGTTTTATTTCATTGCCCAGCCTGAATGTTATACTGAGTTTTTAGTTACTGTAGACTTAGTCTGAGATTTTAGTTGTTTAATTGCCCAGCCTACTTCAAAGGTCTTGAGAAACTGTAGTAATTGATGAAGGATACTTGTTTTGTATCTTTTGAATCAGTAGTTGATGAAAATCATAAGTGCTGCTATGTATTTGATTGATGATGAGCAAATCAAACATCAGGGCTAGATTCTTGAAGTTTAGTATTTCTATCTAAATGTGTTGGCTGGCTTTCTATATATGGCAGGCTAACCACTTTGAGCTGAGGAAGATACAGTAAACATGAAATGATACTAGCATTGTTATGTTTTATACTACTGAATATATGCATATCTAGTGTACATTCAAAAATTTGAAATGTCATTTTAAATTCTGTCCCATCTTTCTAGCTTGCAGATGAGTCACTTAAAATACCTCCAAGGTATCTTGGGTTTGGAAGTGGCATTAGTGAAAAGTCTTCACCTCAATCTCCTTCCGTTACAAATGGAGGCTCATTGATGGGAGGCTTTCTTCGAGCTCTAAGCTTCAAGAAAAAGACTGCTGCACCAGATGGTGAACAAAGCTCTCTCATCCGACCAGATTCCCAGCCATCTTTACAAAGACCACTTCTAGGTGAAAGAAGCTCTCTCATCCGACCAGATTCTCAGCCAGCTTTACGAAGACCACTTCTAGCTAATCCAGTCTCACGCGTGATTTGGAAACGATGTACTTCTTTACCTTCAAGAGCTGCTTCAAACTCATCTCCTTCTGCTTCTGCACCTGCTTTTGCCAGGACATCCGATGAATGGCAAAAATCACAAGTAAGCACCTGCCTTTTCTGCTGTGGAGCATGCTGATCTTTCTTGTAACATACAATATATGTAAATTTCAGATGTTTCTGGCCCAATAGAGAATGGCAAGGTTAGCAATTATATAATCTTGTTTGGTGGTCAAAATTGTTGCTAACATCACTAAACAGTAAATAGCTTTCATTTCTGTACCTTGGTTGCTACTTCTGGTATACAAATACAACTATGTGCATAACAATTACTCATGCTTTTAGTCACTGCGGACTGGTACATCTCAAGCTACTGTCACAAGGATTCCCTCTGCCAAAAATGTGGTTATTGTGAGATCAACATCTTTTGCTAAACGTGAAGATTGTGGCCCAGATTCATGTGATGGTATGTGTCACGTGTGCATGTGCTGTGCCATCTTTTTCTGTTTGACTTCTCACTTTTAAACACAAGAAAATATGTCAATATGACTTGGGGTAGAGGTGGGGCATTTGGAGTGATAATAGTTCGTTCATGTTACCTTTTGTGATCTTTTTCATTAGTCAATGTTTGTTTTGGCAGAATACTTCCTGTTGGATTGGTTACCGTTGAACTTTACCATATTTATAAAATCTTCCAGTAATTAAATAAATATAAAGAAATTTCAGTATGTTTACTTGGTTTGCTAAATATTTCCATACATCCAAAACATTTTAAAAGATAATTTTGTATTGAATTTTCATTTGATTTCCTGTCCTTGTTATGGCTAGATCAGAAGTCGTAGACAGATTCTATAAACTAATTAATTAATTTGTTTTCTCTTCTTTTCTATTGAATTAAACTAGAAATTACACCGGCCCCAGTGGATGAGGATCAAGAGATTCCCGAGGAGGAAGCTGTTTGTAGGATCTGTCTCGAAGCATGTGATGAAGGCAATACACTGAAGATGGAGTGCAGCTGCAAAGGTGACCTCAGACTTGTACACGAAGAGTGTGCAATTAAGTGGTTTAGCATGAAAGGAAACAAAAATTGTGACGTTTGTCAGCAGGAAGTGCTAAATTTACCTGTAACTTTGCATTTTGTGCCAAGTACTACCCAAGGAAATATTATGCTGGACCATAATCAGCTAACTTTGAACGCACAAAGAATAAGGTGGGCATTGTTGACACTTGGTTCCCCAATGTTCTCTTGGTACTCATTACCTATTACCTTTTTCTACACTCCACACTATTTTGATTTTTGAAACTCTGTTAAAGTTTGATTCAGATAAATAACTAAATACAATTTTTTTTTTTTGGGTTGATTTTTTTTACTATTCACCAAGTTCAGAATATTTACTTAACTGAGCTAATCTATAAAACGATTTTAGTAAAAACACTTTGATCGTACACTTTGAATATTCGTTAAGGTTTAAACCCGGAATGATGATTTGCCTATTGTAAAATGTATTAGTTATGATTACTTGTGCAGTGTTTTGGCATTTCGTAAACTAGCAACTAAATTTTGCATATTTGTGCAGTGCTTGGCAGGACTTTGTGGTGCTTGTCTTGGTTAGTACAGTATGCTACTTCTTCTTTCTTGAGAAGTTACTGGTGAGTTTTCATAGTTTTATGAAATAAAAAATTAAAATAAGTTTTATTTGATTTTATATTTAATGCAAATAAAAAAAAAAAATGTTGTCTCTAGAAAGAGGATATAGGTTCTCTCGAGCATAGATGTCTTAACACTATCACGACAAAATATAAAATTACCATAATTGAAGAATAACAAAAAATAATGATGACTAAACAGTGAATCAAATAAGACTTCAAAATAAGAATACCTTTGAGTGTTTTATTTCTTGTATGTGGCTTAAATGAAAATAAGATTTGTATCTTTCCCACTTTCTGCTATGTTGATAATGCGTAATTACTTGGTCAATCTCTATCTATCTTTGGCACACAGATACCTGTTTGTATCTAAAATTCACATTTAATAGATTTACCTGGCACAACTATGTCATCAAAGATTGAACCAAATGTAAATATGTGCAAATATTATTTGAAGAATCTTTTCCACTCTCTGAGGAGTGGTGAACTGTCAAGAAATGTATCATGATCGTACTATTTTGAAAAGAAACTTCTGATGTTTAATTCCAACTTGTCCCCTCTTTTTGTAGATCCATGGCATGAAAACTAAGGCACTGGTGATTGCTATAACGTTCTCGTTTACTTTGGGTCTTTTGGCATCTATTTTTGCAGTCATCCAAGGCATGCCTATGTCACTTACACTTTAATTTGCTTATACGATCGATATTTTTGTTAAAGAAATCATCTCTTTGTATGCAGCAATTAAACAGTACATATGGGCCTACGCAGCTTTAGAATTTGCACTTGTCGCCATGATTCTTTGCCTCTTCTACTCTATGGTGAGTTTTATTTAAGTATAAGTATTATTATGCCAATATGAGTTCCTCTTGTTCTCATTTTCTGGTGCTTTGGCATTTAAATTCCATAAATCAAAATGCTTGTTTATCCCTCTAAATTCAGCTTTCAATGATTGAATTAATAAATAAAACTATCGTGTAAAATCACATACATAAATGTTCTAAAGAACCTCCATGCCCATGCCTTGTCTAGTTGGTAGAAGCCTTTTGACCACTTGGTTAGCGTTCAAAGTTCAAACCTCACAAAGAGTAATCCTACTTAAGCGTTTTAGTCTTTCATTTATGAGGCTATTTAGTCCCCTTTGTTTGGGGCGCTATATTTTATTCTTGTTAATGGACATTATATTGGAGACGTTCATTCATTAATCAACTATAATACATTGTATACTTACACCATTTAACACAATCACCGCCAGTACACCCAATACAATTGCCAAACACCCCCAATATACGGACTGACCCACCCACCCCTCCCCACCCCACAGATATAGGATTAATGGTGGAAACAAGAGGGAAGATAAATCAAATTAAAATAGAGTTAATTCCATTTTTAGTCATAGATTTATAGATGGAGTCTACTTTTAGTCCTTATTTTTCAGAACATCATCTCTGGTCCTAGTATTATTGTGGCATGATTGTTTTTGGTCCTCCATCCGTTGAAATGTCATTAAATACATAGGCATTTTGATATATATACAAAGTGGGTTGACCCCCTATGTTTTTATTTTTTTGAAAAAATCCTAATTGAAGACCGAAATGCCCTTGTTTTTAAGGGCATTTAAACAGTTTTGTTGACGGAGGACAAAAAATGATTATGCCACAATAATACTTGGCCCAAAGGGGATGTTCTGAAAATAAAGGATTAAAAGTGGATTGTCACGTATAAATATAAAACCAAAAATGAAATTAACTCAATTAAAATATGAATATGGCAGGCTGGTTTGATACAGAATTACAGATTCTGCAGATTGTTTCTGTTTCTTGTCCCGCTATCTATGAGTTGCAACTGATGCATGAAAATCTACCTTTGGCAGCTTCATTTACCACCCATTTATTCAATAACGCTGTCATCAGTTTTGGGTTTCGGAGCTGCAATGGGTCTCAAGTTCATGTATAGTCGATATTATGCATTGCGAGTTCAGCTTTCCCCAAGCTCTAGCAACGTGTGATAATTAAGCTGGCAATATTGTTAATAGTTGTAACCTCTATTGAGGGTTGGGCAAGGATGTGTAAAAGTAGCAGTGTTTTTCTCTTCTTGAACTTCACTGCCTCCAGTTATATGGTTTTGAGGTATCTTGAACTTCATGAAATGTGAAGCAGGCTGCGTATATGTAACGTTTTCCTATTAACTATTAATTATTAGGGATAAGAGTCAAATAAACTCTCAAACTATACTGAAATGTACAATTAAATTCCTGAATTTTAAAAAGTTCCAATTAGCTCCTTAAACTAACAAAAATCAAACAATTAACTCTTTTTTCAAACAATTTATTGAACTTTTTTAAAGTTCAAGGGCCTAATTGAACTTTTGAGTAAACTTCAAGGGTCTATATATATATATATATATATATATATATATATATATATATATATATATATAGTGTTGCATTCACATGAAAACACCCTTAAAATATAAACCTATGGACAAATATGGACCATTAGATTAGATTAGATTAAGGGAGTAGATTTAATAGGGAAAAAATAAATCAGAATCGTAATCATGTGTAATAAGGGCAATTAGGACAATTGTTTAGAATATTAATTAAGGTAAAAATAGGATTTTGATTTTTCACCTAAATTACACTAGACTAATTACAGTAACATTTGAAATTAAACACTACATAACACGGCATTCCATTCCCAACCCCACACGGCAATGGCAGACAACGCACAACTCCAAAACTCCGGCCATTCAAGGCACGACAGGCAAGCAACGAACGAGGTGTAGCAGAGGCAAAAATGGATTATACGTTGCCATCACTGCTAGGTAATTATCCAAACTTCATCACAATAGATGAATCATACAGTATGAGTAATTATTGAATAGTTTGTGATAAAAGAAAAATTTAGGAATGTGTATGAATCATTTGTGTGCACGTATGGGTTTTACGTAAGAGAAAAGGGCAATTGGACACTGTAATCATGAAAACGAGATTAACACAGTGCGTAGGGGATCAACAATTGACACACATTCATCATGCACACAATTAGATGGTTAAGTGCACATAAATTCGCCCGTAGTTTTCCATTTTGTAATAACAAAGAATAAACTAAACGGCAGCTAATTAATAATATGGCCACTGACGAAGTTAGCGTGCGCACAAACACCGATAATGTTGATAGAATAGTAATGGCCAGTATTACACGCGCACTCTGTGGTTGTAATGTAGGGTTTTTGAGTATGAGCCCATGCACACATATATTAACGTCCATGCACATCTCCAAAACCCACTGTACACATTGCAATTAACAACCCGTAATAAAAAAACAATTATTTGACATGAAATACGTAATATTCAACTACTAAAAGCTTCATTTCATAGCAGGCGATTTATTAGTGAATAACAACCTTAACGTGTATTTGTTGTGATGAATAGGTGAAGACCAATGTGGACACGGTGTCCAAGAATGTGAAATGGAAATAGGCCAAAATGGTCCAAAATACTGGAGGCCGAAGACCCCAAAAGATAAGACACCATACGAATGACAGATATTCGAAACAGTCGATGTCGGGATTGATTTCTACCTAGCCTACGCTAAGGAGGCAGGATTCGATGTCAGACACGGCACAAAGCGTAGAAATAGAATGAGAGAAGTGTCAATTAAATACCTGTTGTGCTCACGAGAGGGTTACAAGGCTGAAAGGGCAAACGCCAACAACAGGTCGAAAACTAAAATGAGACAAAGGAGAGTGTCAAACAGGATAGGATGTAAGGCACATATGGTAATGACAAAGTGTGACACTGGAGGCTACCAAGTCCACGCAATCGAGCTCCAACATACTCACTGCATATGCTCAGAACAAGGAAAAACTTTTTTAAAGATAAATAGGCAACTGGACATCGGCCACAAAACCTTTCTGTCACACTGTGCAAAGGCAAACATCGGTCCGACAAAAGCTTTCAGACTGTTCAAAGAGATGGTGGGAGGTTTTACCGATATAGGAGCAACATGCATTGACTTCTGCAATTTTAGACGCGACCTACTAGCCTATATTGCTGAGGCAGACGCACAAATGGTGATAAAAGACATGTTCAAAAGAAAAGAGGATAACCCGGACTTCTATTTCGATTTCGACATAGACGAAGAAGCTCAATTAACAAGGTTATTCTGGGTAGACACAGAATCACGAAGGAATTACGCATGCTTCGGCGATGTCATGTCATTTGATGCAACATACAGCACAAACAGGTACATCTCGATTCAAATTAGTAATTACTACCGATGTGTGTGCGTACTGTAGAAATGAAGGAAAAAAAAAAACGAACGCGCACAGTTGACGTACGCAAAATAGTGTGCGCAGTAGCGTGAATTATAGAAGTAATCAATGCACACGAAATGAGAACAATACTAACCATACACATGCGAACTTTTCAGGTACAAGTTAGTTTTCGTCCCTTTCACAGGGGTGGATAACCACAAAAGATGCATTACATTTGCTGCCGGCCTGATTGCGAAAGAAGATGTTGAGTCGTATGAGTGGCTAGTAAAGAACTTCAAAACTGCGATGGAACACGCACCAAGATGTACAACAACTGACCAAGATCCAGCACTAAAGATAGTAATGCCAAAAACAATGCCAACAACTAGGCACAGATTCTGTATGTGGCACATTACGACAAAAGTTGGGGAAAAGGTAGGGGTTGCATTATGGCATAACACTGACTTCAAGAAGGCATTGAACAATACCATATGGGATGACACATTGACCATAGATGAATTTGAAAGATCATGGGAACAAATAATGAAAGACTACAATCTTGAAGAACATAGATGGTTTGCCCAGCTGTATGAAGCGCGTGCATCATGGATACCTGCGTACTTCAACGACCTACAAATGGGAGGACTACTCAGGACAACATCAAGATCAGAATCAGAAAACAGCTATTTTGGGAGATTCACAAACCACCACTCCAGCTTGGTAGAATTCATAGCACAATACAACAGTGCCATCGGAGAACAGAGACATAACAAAAAAAAACTCATCACAGAGAATGAAGGTTCGTACCCTGAAACTAAAACACCTTTGAGTATTGAGAAGCACGGTGCTAAAGTGTACACCATAAACATATTCTATGAATTCCAACAAGAGGTATGGGAAGCCAGCTTCACGTGCCACATCACCGACAAAAAGAACGTGGGTAACATATGGACTTACAGCGTCGAGGAAACAGGCGGGAAAATGTTTGAAGTAACCGAAATACCCAAATCAACGAAAATAGAGTGTGCATGCAAGAAATTCAACCGAGTTGGTATACTCTGCAGGCATGTGATAGTTGTTATGAAGGCAAGAGGGTATGAATCAATCCCACAAGAGTACATTGTTCCACGATGGACAAGAGAGGCATGTGCACACCCACTGTATGATGTACCATGGGCAAAAACACCAAGTACCCCCACAACAAATGAAGCATCAAAAGTAGCCAACCAACTTTGGACAAAATTCTACAACTGCATTGGATTAGTGAAAGGTTGGCCAAACAAAATGGAACAAATGTTAGCAACATTGCAACAACTGAAAAAGGACCTACAAAGGGAGAGGCAGCAAACACAAGGGACTAGCAACAATGAATGTGTGTTCGAAACATTGCTAGGATCAAGTAGGCCAGGAGACATACAAATAAAACCACCCAAAGTTGCAAAGAACAAAGGAAGTGGGAAGAGACTCAAAAGCAATAAAGAGAAGGCAATCACAAAGCAACAAAAGAAGAAAGAAAGGACATGCAACATATGCGACTTCCCAGGCCACAACAGCCGCACTTGTCCAGGCAAGGTAGCACAAGACGAAGATTAGAATAGTATTTATTTCACAAATAATGAACAATGCAATTTAGATTACCAGTTTTTATATGAAGCATAGTTATTATTAATAAACAATCTACGCACACATCGAAAATACGAATGCAAACATATGTTTTTGGGGAAAAAATAAACGCATACCACCCCAAAAACACACGTCAAAAATACAACTGTGCACAAATGTTGTTGGCAGAATAAAATCTAAGGAAAAATAACTTAAAAACTCCGCATACTGCATAAATAGGAACGCGAACACATGTTCTAGGCAGAATAAAATTGTAGGAAAAAGAAGTTAAAAACTCTGCACACATATAATATACAAATGGGCACACTTGTTGGGACAATACAATTTAAGGAAAAACAACTTGAAAACTACGCACACATCAAAAAAACAAATGCGCACACATGACGTTGGGACAATAAATGTAAAGGAAAAACAACTTTAAGCCACCAAACACATCAGAAAAACCAATGAGCACACATGGTGCTGGCAAAAAAAGTAACGCATAACAGGCACCAAGAACATGCACCAAACAATTGAGAAATGAGAACGACCTACGCACACATCCCAACCTAACATGCGCACACATGGTGGGACAATACACTTTAAGGAAAACCAACTTAAAACTCCGCACACATCAAAAGTACAAATGCGCACACATGAGGTCGGGACAATAAATGTAACTGAAAAACAATATTAAGCCGTCGCACACATCAGAAATACGAATGCGCACACATGTTGAGACCAACATACAGTTCCAAAACAACGGCAAATAAAAGTCACTAATCCAAAACCCAAAAACGAGCACATTGCTCAAGACCCGTGTGCACACAATAACAAAAATAGCTGAACAAGACTAACAAAATAGGCCAAATATCTACACAGGTGGAAGAGGATCAGATATAGAATGGTACGCCCGAGAAAGATTGCGCTGCCTGTGCACATTAAACTCCGAAATCACAATCTCCGACATGTAACGTATCCTGAGCCTGTGCAGCGTAGTAGTGTCTCCCTTGAGTAGGCCACAGTCCCAATCACGAACACGCTGGCCAACAAACGACTCCATATGCCGCATAAGAAAAACCCCGCAGTCAATCTTATTCTTCGAATCACGCCAAGGCATTTGCAAGCGCTTTGATTCCACACAAACACACACAGCAGATCGCGAAGGAGAACTAACTTCAAAGAATTTAGATAACATCCCCATCTAAAATTAAAAACACAAAAACAATTCAAACATCAGTCATACTAGATACAAAGGAAGAGATCAACCACATAAATAGAATAAGGGGGGGGGGGGGGGGGGGGGAGGGGTTCACAAAGATCAACACTAACCAAATC